GTGAATCAAGTCACGAAAAGTTCAAGAATCGGCAACAGGCCATGGGCCTATTTCTTCAACGCCGACACTTCTATTCTATTCTAAAATAATTACAAGATTAAATCGTTTATGAACATCGAAACTGCCCAAACTCAAGAAAAATTTTGCCAGTTTCATTTCTGTTATAGAGATTTTACACAATATATATTTTAATACATAATATATATTTTAATAAGCTACAGTTTAATACAGTTTCATTTACAGCCCCAGAAATGCTATTCTTTTTAAATTGTAACTATTTGCTAGACATTCAGATGGTTTTAGATAAAAAAATTCCATTGAAACGTGTTTTGATGAAAAAACTTGTGAAATTAAGCCCAGAAGCTCGATAACTCGAAGGATCAACTTGTAATGATTTGAAAAATTCTAATTATCGACGTGGAGTATCAACCACGTATTAATTCGCCGGTATTAGTTATATTTCGTTTTATACGTGCACTAAAACTATGAAATTCGATTTTCAGCCTTCATTTCCATCTATTAGTAAGCTATGAAGTTTTCACAACGGTGCTCTATTATCTTGCCGTTGTACATGCAATAGATAACATACTTTGACAGACTACGTTTAAGATAACGTATCACTCCGCTTACAATCTTCTCCGAAAACATAAATTGAAATCTTCTCCGAAATTAATTTAACTGCCGGATGTACAATTGTTGTTGTTCCTTGTCAACAATTTTGTCGTCGTATTCCAATGTCAAGCCTGAGAGCTGCACGACTGGGACAATTTTCGAAAACTTCTTAAAAACAGTTAGCTCTAAATATTATGTTAGTTATAAATATTAAATATTATGTGATATTATAATATTGTATTGATTAAAATAGCAATGATTAAAATGATAAGAATCCGCGTGAATGGTCTTGAACGTTGCAAATGTTATAGGTGTACGTATTGTCTTCTACTTCTACACCAAAAACTTTATTTGTAACTAAAATAAAGATTTGGTAGGTAGAAATAGCATTATGAGTTAGGATTTTAATTAGTTCAACAGAATAGCAGTAATACTAAATGCTGTTTTAAGAAATGCTGTAGTCGTTTAATTAATTGAAAAAATAATTCCATAATCTTCAATACGAAATAAAAACGGTACATTCCCATGTTTTTTTATTTTCCTACTTCTTCATAGTCTAATTTCAATTTTCGTGATCACTTGAATTAAATTTGTTTTTGGTTGTCAATATCCATTAGTGAACAAACAAGACATCTAAATATTTCTTGTGTTGATTTAGCACACAGAATATATGAAGTTAGCACACAGAATTTACCAAGTTAGCACACAGAATATACGAATATATACGAGTTAGCCCGCAGAATATACGAATACACACGAGTTAGCACACAGAATATACAAACAGAATATACAGGCTTAACGCACAGATTATGCAAAGTTAACGCACAGAATATACAGTTAACACACAGAATATACACAGTTAGTACACAGAATATACAGAGTTAACACACAGAATATAAAAAGTTAACACACACAATATACAGAGTTAGCAGACAGAATATACAGAGTTAACACACAGAATATACAAAAAACACAGAATATACAGAGTTAACACACAGAAAATACATAGTTAACACACAGAATATACAAAGTTAACACACAGAATATACATAGTTAACACACAGAATATACATAGTTAACACACAGAATATACTGTGTAATAATACAGAATAATTCTGTATGTTAACTCAATGTTAACATACAGAATATATAAATTTTGATGACAATTCTTGTTTCAATTCGGTAATTAACAAAAAATATATTATATCAAAGGCATCATATATCATATAAATGCCATTAAATCAATATATGATGGCTATTTCGGGCATAATTCTAGTAGTTTAAAGCCTATATAGCAATGAACTTCAGGCTGATGACGTGACCTATACGAACACGTCAGATATCATCATGATAAGCGCCGTTTTATTTGATAAGCATTCAAACCATAAAGGTTCGTACAGGATTATTTCATATCTTAGCAAATGCTAGTCGCTTGCTGACGTCATACATAGCCTCGCAGGATATGAGTCATATGAGTCCCATAAAAATGAGGTCTGATGAAGCTTCTGTAAAATGATAAGAAATTCACATGTGAACTAGAGTTCTGATCCCTGTAATGTGGTGCTCTATATTGCTGCTACATGCTAACCCTTGTCATGTGGTGCATGTTACTCAATGCTAACCCTTGTCATGTGGTGCATGTTGCTCAATGCTAACCCTTGTCATGTGGTGCATGTTGCTCAATGCTAACCCTTGTCATGTGATGCATGTTGCTCAATGCTAACCCTTGTCATGTGGTGCATGTTGCTCAATGCTAACCCTTGTCATGTGGTGCATGTTGCTCAATGCTAACCCTTGTCATGTGGTNTTCTGATATGTTATCTTTTATCAGCAACTGTAGAATTACATTATGGTACTGAGCTCGAACATTTAATTAAAAAGGATTCTATTTATGTGAGGACCATTTTGGGCTGTATAGTTTTGTTTTGGGAATCGTCATCTAGGATTTTTTTTGTGAGAAAATAAATATTGTTTTAAAAGTGAACCAAATTTTTGCAGCCATGTTAAAATTTACTGCCCTCAAAAATGGCATGAATTGTTATACAAATATATTTTGTTGTTGCATCTGCATTTCGAACACCTGTTGACCTATTCAGCAATGCCAGATATTTCAGATCAGTTATATTGTATTTTCCTACTAAAATTCTATTATAGAATTTTTTTCGTAAAAGAGCTTTGATTTTTTACGTAGGCATAATAATTTTGTCCAAATTTCAATGTAACTACATGAATTTTGATATTCAACCTGCGCACAATTTTTCGCGACCACAAAAAATTGAATTCATTTGAGTCGCTTGAGTTTGGTTCATCGTTCCTCGTATAGTTTGATCGTTTTCATGACGTCCACTTGTGTTATTGCAACAAGATTAATGATAAGGAAAAGAACTATACGTTAGTGACGCGATTAGTTCAATATAAGAAGCAAGGATTTACGATATCTTCCTATCTTGCCAGAGGCAAATAACGATTGATTTGTTACGCATTATGAAAAATATGCACCTTGCTCCTGTTGGTTTTTCGTCAAACCGGAAGTTATTTTTAGAAGTTCTTTTATAACATGAGAGACAAATGGCGTTGGGAGTCAGACCAACAGAAACATTTTTTGATCTTATTAACTCAAATTTCTGCAATTTTAAACATTAATTTGATCATATTTACATTTGATTGGTAAAAAGTGCCATGAAACGCTTCAAGCGCTAGCTGCCGACCATCAGGTCGAGATTTATCCTCCTTCAGAGATTTTTAGGGTAAATCCGTGCATAAAGTTGTCTGTGAAAAATTATTTTCAAACGTTAGGCCAGCTTGAAATAATTTTGTTCACATTACACGTATTCAACTATAGTGTCCTTACAAAATCGTTAATATTTTCCTTATGCAGGAGGATTCTATTAATTTGTTTACATTGTATATCATTGACGTGGAATGAATTTAGATCTAAATGACTGGACCACGTGAAACTGTTAATCACGAGTTCATTCCATGGGGAATGTTTCGTTCTACTGCAGCTTCACAACAGACTAATGTTTCCTTCAGTATTGAGAGTGAGGATACAGACTCTTATTAACTTAATTAAATAACGTTCCAACAAATAAATTAAATGCTTTCAAACCTCCTAGTAATTTCAATTAAAAAAGTCAATTAATTTCTGAAAATATTCAAGCCACATACGGCCGAAGCTTAGAAAACAGACATTTTTGGACATAAGAATTAAACGCCTAACCTTTTACAAATGGCATATAAGTATAATTATACAAAAATAAGTATATATGTATAAATATATAATTATATGTATATATGATGCAGGTAGTATATAAGTATAATTATATAAGTATATGTATATATGAATAAGTATAAAAGTATAAGTATATTGAAGTATCCCTGAGAACTAAGTCATCTTGAGAACACAGCATGACGATAATGACTATGAGGCTTCGGAGAAGGCATTGAGAACTGTACACTGTACAGTGTACAGTCAAGATAATGAATGACGTTGTGAAATGGTGACTTATCAACCTCTCATATATATACATATATACGCTACGCCATTTACTTTTTTCATTTTTGTACGCAACGAATGTTTTAGTTTCCTAATAGGAAACTAAAATGAAAAAATACGTATTTTATCTAGTATAATTAATGGGATGCATTGTTACTGAACATAAATAGGTAAAAATTGTTAATAAGAATTTAAAAACAAATTGAGACCTGGGCAGGCGATAACCATCATCAACCAAATCTCTTAATATATCATAGAAGATGATATCACATGAACTACCAACTATAATTTAAGACGAAGACTTAGGACAATTACTTTTCTCGCGACTGAAGACTCGGTAAAAATAATTGTGTTCGACACGCAAATTTTAATTGCAAGACTCTTCTTATATATAGTCATCACCAACAACGTAATTAGGATGATGATAATTGTTATAATAATAATAATAAATAATATTAATATTATTGATAATGTAGTAATAATAATAAAATAATAATAATATAACAATTCCTTGCTCTTGGTTTAATGGTATCAGAAACACGTCCTTCATTGAACCTAATTTATTTCTATCTTTTTGGTTTACATATTTTTTATATTTCCACGTTTAGCGACGGGATGAACCTGCAGGTACAGCGTGGCATGCTAGCAGCGGACGATCATGTCGTCTACGACAGAGATGAGGTCATGTTTCTTCGACAGAGCTGAGGGCGTGTTTCTACGACAGAGATGAATTCTTGTTTCTACGACAGAGATGAGGTCATGTTTCTAAGACAGAGATGAATTCATGTTTCTACGACAGAGATGAGATCATGTTTCTACGACAGAGATGAGGTCATGTTTCTACGACAGAGATGAGGTCATGTTTCTACGACAGAGATGAGGTCATGTACTACTACACCCAGTACTACTACACCCAGTACTACTACAACCGTTGTTACCCCGCGTCCTCCACTCTCCATCCTGTTGGATATCCAGAAAAACCTGGATGCGATTTCAGAGTTTCTTAATAAGTTAATGGAAACATTATTGAATTTCACCCGAAGGTCGAGGATTGTTCGTTCCGTGCCTGACTGTCCGGAAGATGTTGATCAAGTGATGGTGCTGAAAAATGCTACGATTGTGATAGATCAAGTTTCTGCAGAAATCGAAAAGAACATAGTAACCGAAACTCAAGCCATCCTAATGGACAAAGCCAGAGAAGATATAGAGACCATCGAAGCATGTCCTAATGAAAATTTCAAATCAAGTGTCCAAAACGATTCAACTATTCTGACAAACTCTTCTAGAGTGAGTAGCCGATTATGCGAGTAGAATTAACTTTCCAATAAGAATTAATGTTACCGTCAGATTATAATACTATAATAAGTTATATAAACCATCACTAATAAGAAATTATGTTTTAGCATGATGATTCGCAGATTATATTATCGTTAAAATTTATCAGGTATATCCAAAATATACTTAAACTAGTTTTTTTACAGAGCATCGAGAGTGCGCAGAAGGCTGTTGAGGAGAAAAAAGTAGAGCTGGAGAAAGCGGCGTCAGGAGACTCTGGCACAGATAAACCGATTGCAGCGATCGTTGGAGGAACGGTGGGGGGTTTCGTGGCATTGGTTATTATCATAGTTTTCATAGTTAAATGCAAGAAAAAGAAGCAAAATAAATCAAATACATTTTCTGCGACGAGTGCCCCGCGTCAAGAATTGTGGATCAACAAGTCCCCCCCAGAAGACAATAGTCCAAGCACAGAGGTATGTCACAGTCTTGTTTGATTGTAGACTTGAGCAAATTGTGAAGAAAGTATCATGATAAATGCAAGTGAAATAAGTGCCACTTGATTGAATATTTCGCTTTATTTGTCTACCCGTACATTAACTGATGTTAATTATTATGGTGTCGTCAAGAAAGGTAGCTAGGACAAAAAAATCAATTTGATCATGATTAAAAAATGTTACTTTTTCCGATCAGCTCATGATAAATGCTATTATCAGTTCGAAAAGGTGTGTCATGCAACATAGATTGCGTTATTAATCAAATTATAATAGAATAATAAGGAAATGACAAATCTGTACAATTTTCGGTTAGTTTGCCTACTTGGAGCAGAGCTGTACACTAAAATCTGGTTTAAATTTTATAGGAAGCTGCAACCGTGATAACACAACGTGGCGGTAACCTGACGGCAGACCAGCAGGCGAGAAGTGGACAACACGCCCAGGTGCTTTCAACGTTCCAATCTGAAAAAGAAACTAATTTCCCTTCGGTTTTGCCCGACAAAACTGAGCCTCAGTGCCCCACAGTCCATTCTCATGCAGCCAGAGATCCCATCCCGTCAAGATACCCAAATGAAGGCAATACCATCGACCGCCCGGCCGCACTTCCTCGTTTGACTGCCGACGGGAAGCCGATCTGGAACCGGGCATACGATTTCGACACCAAGGAGGAATTTTCACGAACGGATTCCGATTCCTCTCCTAGACCAGCTTACCGTCGACAACCGCCTCATAGAAGCAACAGAGACAGCGATCACTCAGAATACCCTTACCAGCGACGAGCACCTTCGGGTCATGGACGATACCCCAGAAAATATAATTACCCACATCGTCGCTCGCGCTCCAACTACTCTGAATACGACCGTCCTCACCGAGACCAGCAAACTGATCGAGAATATAGCCATCGGCACCAGAGTTTGTCTCCAGCTCGCTATAGTAATCGCTCATCTCGCCCTAACGATCGCCCAACGTCAATGCATCAACGGGATGAGCTGCAGCCAGCGGGACGAATTCCCAGACTTTCTGCCGCGATCGGAGGACAAGATCGGAGCCAACGCCCCAGTCGCCACAGCCCCTCAGGAAAGGAGCCACAGGGTTACGGACGGATTCAGCCAACGACGCACCATTCGAATGGACACAAGTCTGAACGAAACCACCCGCCTTCCGAATACAGGCGTCGGGAACCTGAATATAGACCTCGCACTAGTCACCGTTCTCCGGAGCCCAGACCTTTCTCTTACACCTCTCAAGATGACCGACGACCAGGCAACGACAGGAAATCAAGAATGAAATCGAAGAGCCACATCGAACTCGATAGAGAAATCGCTGTCCGCCGAGAGTTTCGAAGACCTTACAGTTATCAAGACTTAAACTGAGTCTCGCATAAGACTGTTAAATTTTAATAACTATCCGAATTATGAATACGCAGAAATACGGTGTACAAGATTACAAATATCCTTGTCACTGCTAGTGTTAGGGTATAGCATCTGCATGGAAAAATTAAATTCTTCTGAGTATCGTAAAATTATTATAAGGAATATAAAAGATGTTTACAGGTAATACTTGATACTCATGATCAATAATTGTACAAATTCTACCAGAGGTAGTCGATAATAAATAATATCAAATAATATAATCCATATGCATTAGAAGAGGTTCTGTTCGCTCGTTAGCGGAGCAACCATAATGAATGACCAACAGTTATCTTCTTGCAATTTTATTTTTAACATTCTTGATTTGCCTTACTTTTAATTTTTACGAAGTAATCTTGACGAGAAAATACTGTAAAACAATATAAAGTAATCTAGAAATACTTTCGAGGTTCAGCCAGTTAAGTATTATCGAATGAACAGGGAATGCTGCTTATGAGCTTTCAAGATTATATTTATGCTGGTTTGATGCAATCTAAAGAACTTTTTATTTATGTACAATAATACTTATTTAATTCTTTATAGCAATAGAGTTAATTGACTTTTCATTCCTTCCACTCATTTGTGCGTGAGAAATCGCCGAACAATGAAAACAATATTGTTTTTAATTGCGTACGTTTGTTCATTTTTTATACTATGACGGGACAGCAAGCTGATGTACATATCACTGACTAAAATGAATGGGTCGAATTGTTCAAATCTTGGCACACTTTCTGAGAATACGCGTAGTACTGATACACCCTTGGGCCGGGTCAAACCGGGTCAGGTTGACCCACAAAGGGGCAAAAAATTCATCACTATTTTTCTGTGATTTCCGGCGAGAGTTAAATAAACTGCGTTTCTTACGTTGTTCGGAGTGAAATTCATGTTATCTTTGTTAATACCAGCAGATATCAGGGTTGCCCAAGAGCTTTGATCATCGAACAAACTAATCATGTCCGACAGCTTGTCGGTTCGTTATAATCCCGTCTGATAGCGTTTAAGCTGATGTACATATCACTGACTAAAATGAATGGGTCAAATTGTCCAAATCTTGGCACACTTTCTGCGAATACGCGTAGTACTGATACACCTTTGTGCCGGGTCAAACCGGGTCAGGTTGACCCACTCAGGGGCAAAAAATATAACTCAGTACTCACTGCAGTGAGTGACGGAGAGCGCATTTTCTCGTCGACGAAAACTTGAGGTCACGGACAGACGGACGGACAGACGGACGGACGGACATGGCGAGCACAATAGTGCATTTTTTCCATAAATGAGAAAATGCGCTAAAAATGCATCACTATTTTTCGGTGATTTCCGGCGAGAGTCAAATAAACTGCGTTTCTCATGTTGTTCGGAGTGAAATTCACCTGAAATTCATCTTATCTTTGTTAACACAAGCAGATATCAGGGTTGCCCAAGAGCTTTGATCATCGAACAAACTCATCACGAACGACAGCTTGTCGGTTCGTTGTAATCCCGTCTGATAGCGTTCTTAATGAAGTTTATTTAAGAATTAAAGATGAGTTTAACTTACCTCACTCATGTACGGAGCTTCGCGTGCTGATAACGTGTTTCTGTGACGGCTATGAGTATGTTTTACATAGGTTCTAAAATTATTATATGTTGAGTTCGATATCACTGATTTTGATTAATGTTTTATAGCGAAATTTCTTATTATTATCCTTATTATTATTAGTGTTATTAGTGTCTCATTATTATTAGTGTTGCATTGCGATTCATACGGACCTGATCACCGAGATCTCAATTGGAAAATGCACCAGACGTAAAAGGCGTTTCCACATTTACAGACACATATAAATATGTTTAAAAATATGTTCAACATTAGAGAAAGTTTACAATGTTGAAATTCCAATGTAACAGTCTGAAACCATTTTTTCGTAAACATTTAATCCCGAATTCAATTGCATGCTCGTTTTCAATTACCTTAAACTTTGTGCTTCTTATTGATAGCACGTAAGACTGAACTATAGCATAAGTGTTATATTACGAAATATTAACTTATAATCATCTTCACGAGATGAAAACGTTCACTATTCCTTAAAAATAATTTTTTTAATTGCTATAGTTTTGTGAGGTATTTATCGATGAAAAAACATGCGGTTCCTGTGTAACGCACTCAATCGTAATATTGTGCCTGTCCTTCATCTTCTTACTGCAGTAATAGACCGTGGAATTGATATTTAAATTCAAGTTCAATAATTTGAAAATCAATAACGACATCAGAATGTGGTGGCGTCGTCACAGAGTTTATAATACCATATATGTATACTATTTGGTATTTGTTATATATGTACCTGCCATAATACACACAATATAAAATCATTCGCATATAATGTACGAGTTACGAATAACTTGGTTGACACCTGCACTTAAATTAAACTCATTGACATTATTTTACATATATTTAAAACTTCAGTATCTGTTTCGTGGAAAATGTCTTGCAGGTTAATCCATAAGTAAAGATAAAGCTGTCACTTGTGTATGTGAAACTTGATAAGCAAACTTTTTGGAATTTGTAATAAATTTTAGTTCAAGTTGGTTACTGGTCCCTTACTTTTTGGAATTTGTAATAAATTTTAGTTCAAGTTGGTTGCTGGTTCCTTACTTCACATTTCATCCCAGGAATGACGTTAACTTGGCGCCGTAGAGGCGGCCTGTCGCTGTGGCTGCTGCTGGTGGTGATGGCTGTTGCTGTGGCGGCACAAGATGGTACGTTAATCATTAAAAATAACCGGATACCTTTAAATATAACCAGAAATAATTATAGAAAAGTAAAAAGTTTTTTCAAATCTTTTTAATTGCAAAAAAATTGTTAAGATATAGCTGGTTGGCTTTTAGTCAATTTCTCAAATTGGAATGTTCCGAAGTTACGTCAGAAAATAAATGCAGATCATCCTCGTTACTTCACGGGTTTTGGTCTATGACATTGAAATTAAAAGTCGTACAATCGAAAAATATATTTAATAATGGCTGCTCTTGCTAGGTTAGACAAATTTAATCTCTATGTTTCATTAAAGGGGAGCATTTCGGTCGAAGTAAACTCATTTATTTACCAGCAGATCATCATGAAACTTGGTACACATATGTAAAGTAGAAATCAATGACTTTTCTGTTCGTGTTAATTTTTCGAAAAATTAAATAAAACGTGAAATTCATAGAAAACGCCAAAAAAAGAGGTAATGTAAAAATCTGTCTCCTTCTAGGATTTTCAAGCTACAAAATCCAGAGATATTTCATTTGATATGTAACGACCATAACTAAAGATCATCCGTTCATTTTTTCGATTTTTTTTTAGTTTTTCTCTGTTTTAATTTTTTTTATTTTGACCCCTTCCCTCCCATTTTTCAACATATGATCAATACAGAAAAAAAATCGAAAAAAATAACGGATAATTTTTAAAGATTTTTATTACAAATGGAATGGTATATCTCTCAATGCTGTAGCTTGGAAATCACAAGAGGATATAGATTTTAAAGATGGCGTATTTTGGAAATTCTAATTGTTCAGTGGAGTCAGACAAAAAAAATTATTAAAAAAAAAGAAGAAATTGCTGAAAAAATTGCTTGATACTGTGGCCCAAGCTTTCCCATTGCCACTTACTTGTATTGAGGGCTCTATCAAGAGTCTTTAGACTTATTCTTGTCCAGTTTAATGCGAGTAATAAGCTATAAATATGATTTCTGGAATATTAATTTATATGAAATTGTCATTTTAGAAAATTTCGAAACGACCTTAAGCAAAAAGTATTGCATGTACATTAATGACGCTTCGTCATTGAACGCGTCATGTTTGCAGCTTTGAAATTAATACAAGCACATTACTATTAAAGCCAATAATGATCTACAAACACCATTTTCTAATATAAAATTTTAAATATTGTTGGAAAATCGCCATTTTATAATAGTTCAAAACGACCTCACTCAAAAATTATTGCATGTACATCCACGGCTGTTGCCTATAGGCTAATTGAAAGCGTCTTGTTTGCAGCTTTAAATCGAGTACAAACATAGTGCAATTAACTTGAATACTGATCTATAAATACATATTTAATTAACGAAATTTTTACAAAAAATTATTATGAAATGTCCATTTTATAAAAGTTCGAAACTGCCTCACGCAAGAACTAGAGCACGCACTTCCATACGGTTTGCTGCATTGGACGCGCCTTTCCGCAGTTACAAAATGAGCCCAAATATTTGAAAAGAAAAAATGTTCGATTTGACCGAAATGCTCCTCTTATGGCCATTTATCGAATATTGTCCAAAAATTACCATAAATCATAATTAGTATCTCATTAGAAGCTGGATTAATTTATAATTTTAATAATTTTAACATTCATATTGGCATGCAAAATTTTCTATAATAATTTAATAAATGTAAGTTTGGTCACAGGTAACTCAGACGAATGGCTTGACGCAAGCGATGCAACCCTTCTGCTCGGTGCGTTGAACCGACAACAGAGGACACAAGACAATCCGAGAGTTGAAACTGCAACAGGAGAAACTACAAAAAATGAAACTACAACAGATGACACTACAACAGAAGAAACTACAACATCTGCCATTGCGACAGACGAAGCTACAACAGATCCTCAACCACGACAACCAGCCCCTCAACCACGACAACCAGCACCTCAACCACAACAACCAGCACCTCGACTGCCCGCACAACCACAACGCCTCAAGTAACGCGTCCTCCAGTAGAAATTCTGGCAGATATTCAGGAAGACTTGAACTCCATCTCAAAGTCTTTACAAAATCTTAATGACACAATTTTCAATCTAGCTAGAACACGTATGGTTGGTCGGGATGCGTCTGTTTGTCCAAGCATCGATCAAGTGGAGTTGCTGGAAAATGCAACAAGCGTCGTGAATCAAGTGTCTAAAGAAATCAACAATGACAAAATTACCGAAGAGCAAGTCGATAGCATGGAAAAGGCCCGTATAGAAGTAGAGACCATTGAAAAATGTCCTAATGATAATTTTAAAGCAAGTGTTGGGGCAGATCCAAGTATTTTGACCAATGCAACTAAGGTAAGTAAACCTGATATCAGTGAGAGAATGACTATAGAAAATGGAATGCCACGAAGAGCGAATAATTTAAACAAGATAGGTAAAATTTTCATTTCATACAAATTAGAGTGAATCATGGTACCTTGAGTCAATAAATATGAGAAAAATATTCACAGAATAGGAAATAATACTAAAACTATCTACCATTTCAGAGCGTCGAAAGCGCACAGCAGGTCGTTGAGGCGAAAACAGACGAGCTGCAGGCAACGACTTCTGATGAACCTAACCTTGCCTTGATCATAGGGGCGTCTGTGGGGGGTTTTGTGGCATTGGTGATCATCATAGCCATAATAGTTTACTGCGTACGGAAAAACCAAAAGAAGAAGAAGGGCAATCAATCGACTGCGTTAGCTTCGTCAAAGACACCACAACAAGATCTGTGGATCAACAAATCTCCAGCTGAAGATGGTAGTCCCAGCAATGAGGTACGTCACTTACCTGTACGATCTCTGTGACTCGATAAATTTCGGAGGTCATTTTCTCAGTAAATGCAAGTGTTTCATGCTTCATGATTAAGATTGGCATCAATCCTTTTATCAAAGTGATTGAAAACGAACAATTTTACATCATAAAAGCAGCACCTTATAACTGAAATTTTCACTTGATTAGGTTCAGCCGCATCAGGATAAATTGTGTTTTTGACTTTGCAAGTTTAGGCTATCGTAAATGAAAAAACATGCTAATGCTACGAACATGCTAATGCTACGAACACTTAGAATTTTAGGTTAAAAAACTCAATTGCGATCAAGTTTCAAATTGAAATTGTTTTCCAATTTCTCAGAAGGCTACGCCGGAAGTAACAAAAAGCGGTGGTAATTCGAAAGTGGACGAACAGGCTAGAAGCGGGCAGCCGGCCATGGTGCTGACGACATTCCAGACTGTAAAGGAGACTTCCACGACGGGAGCCCATGAACAGACTGTGCCTAAAAACGATTCAGTCAATTCCCAGGCAGTCAAACAACCTTTGCCATCAAGCTACCCAAATGAGGGCAAAATCGTCGACCGCCCCACGGTACTACCTCTTTCAGCTGCCTACGTGAACCGTGCATACGATGTGGATGCCAAGGACGAATCTTCACGAAGTGACACGGATTTCTCTCCTAGACCAGCTCACCGTCGGCCCTCACCCAACAAAAGAAACAGAGACAGCGATTACTCTAGCCGTCCTGACCCCAGACGAGCTCCTAACCATGGACGGTACCCCAGACAATACAACGACCCACATCGTCGCTCGCGCTCCGACTATGATTACGACCGCCCCCACCGAGACCAGCGAACTGATCGGGAATATCGCCATCGGCATCAAAGTTCGTCCCCAGGTCGCTATCAAAGTCGTCCTTCACGGCCCAGAACCCGGCCTACGTCAGTGCGAGAGAGGGACATGAAACAACCATCAGGCCCAATTCCTAGACTACCTTCTACTATGTACGACTCAGACCGACAAGATCGGAGCCAACGCTCTAGTCGCCACAGCACCTTAGAGAGGGCGCCACGGGGTTACGGACGAACTGAGCCAACGACGCGCCATTCGAATGGACACAAGTCTGAACGAAACCACCCACCTTCTGAATACAGGCGACGGGAGCCTGAATATAAATCTCGTACTAGTCACCGTTCACCGGAGCCGAGACCTTTCTCTTACACCTCTCAAGATGACCGACGACCAGGCAACAACACGTCGCTGCAAAGAAAATCCGGAAGCCGCTCCGAACTCGATAAAGAAATCAACATGCGAAAAGAGTTCCGGCGTCCCTACAGTTATCAAGATCTTTATTGATTTCAGTCAGATTTATAAATTGAGCACTGTTTCCTAGAACCAATATCAATCGGAGTAACAGCATTGCCAAATTTCTAAAGCGTCTTCTGTTATACAGTTCACCCAAAAAAGTCAGAGACTGCATTTAACTAATATATATGCATTTAACTAATAAATAAACTTTGAAAAGAAGAAGCACAAAGCTAGAATGCGTTCTAACGTCAAAATCAACCCAAATTTTAAGATTAATATAAAAATGCTCGCATTAGTGCTCCAGATGATTGACGAGAATTATTGGTGAAGCGTGGCCATGAGCAGTTACTGAGGATTTAGATGGCATCAGCCTGCAATAATTTACAAATTAACATTCTTTATGCACAACTTTTATGCATTTTGATTCGAAAATAATGTTAACAAACTATTTTCATGGCTTTTTATTGAATGCTTTAGCGCAAGTGATATATGTAATTATATCTATGTGTAAATCTATAGAATAAATATTAGTTAGATATTAGTCAATATCAGTATGACACTTGATCATTCTTGTTTTAGGAAAAAGTTGTTTTAATATATTTTACTAAAAAACCATACCATCTTAATTCCAAATATTTTAAATCTGTGTATCTGTAATAAATAAAAAAAAAATCAAAGAAAGTTATCGTACACTAATTGCAATACTTGACAATTGATATATATTGAATTAAATATTAATGATTCTCTGTACCTTTTACATGGAAAATAGTTTGTCTTTACCTCTATCATATTAATAATAATAATTTTCATGACCTCTGCCACTGAGCCACAGGTATAATATTGATACTGCGTTCTAGGCGAATCTACACTCATACATACAAATAAAAGTTGTACTCGTCGTGATCGAATTACATTAGCAATAAGTTTAATTGTAATGCATTATCAAGTGTATACTTTCTCTTGGACCTGAAAATTATAGATGTTATTTACGTGTATGCTCAAATGTAAGGAATTCATACAAGCATAACGGCTAACAATTTTATTGAAACTCCAGAAGGTAAACTTCGGCTCCAGCGAAGTAGAATAACGGAACTGCAGAGGATGCAGTTTAGGGAACTGAAAGTAGAAAAAGAGACTTTGCTAAATAAATGCCGGTACTTGAGAGAAAGAGTTTATCAATTATGCTCAGTAATTCCAATTTAGCGGTACAAGACTTGACAGTGAACACATATTCCCAATCTAACCTCAAATGAAATAACGCGTACAGCACAATTAATGTCGCGCTGGCTGCACTGGAGGCACGAAGCACACGGCAAAGAGATGCGCCGTATGAGAATACACCGGAGGTTATACTGTAAATTGACAGTTACAAACCAAGATTAGATTGATGGAATAATTGCTATTGTATCATATGCTATTAATCATTATGAGTATCATGATATATTGATCAAATTATGCAAAGTTAAGAATAAATATTTCGCGACTAACCTTCTAATTTATTACCGCTAGGGTAAATCTAGAAGTGGCTTGAAAGCCGTTTAGAGGTACATAGGTGTTTGCAAGTGCAATTGAGTGCAATGGTTAGTATATTAATAAATGACTTGGTAGACCCAACGTGACTAAATTAATAGGGTTAAAGCGCCACAGGGCGTAAAGTTAATAGGCTCGAAAGCCGGCAATACTGCCAAGTTTAATTAATGCGTCAGAGACGTCTTAAAGTTGGGTCAAACCAAATAGTAACGTGGCATGCATTAATCATGATAAAGGGCCCATAGCATGCATTAAATCAAAAAGATGATAGGAAGTGAAATTGCCCTCTGGTCACTGCGGGCAATACAGTAGCCTAGAACACCATTTGAGTCACCTCCGTTTCACTTAAGCCAGTCAAAAGTAGAGCCCTTAATGCTTCAAAATTTCTCTCGAAATCGATACTTAATCTAACTTAATCTCTAAGGTCTTCATTACAGTAAAACGGAATACAATTTCAATTAAATGGGACATGAATCAGTAAAATTTCTAATACAAATTGAAAAAAATATCAATTATTATTGCTGTTATTAGAACCAGAAAAAGTTTCTTGGCGCCCGCATTTCTTTGGGCAACACTCCTGGTGAAATGTTATACTTATATATTTTATTTGTAATATTGATCTTCTGAATAATAAATCTAAATCTAGCAACCGGTTGTTCTATAATCGTCAGCGTNGGATAATAAATCTAAATCTAGCAATCGCTTGTTCTATAATCGTCAGCGTTGTTGGAATTCAGGAAGATCGTGAGCAGTTTCTTGCAGGTATTACAGTAGAAATAACTTGCGGTCGCCCACTTTATGCGGGTACACGACAGGCTACACCTTGGCTCGGTACAGGCAGCCTCGGCATCGCAGTCTGCTGTGATGTCACTTCGAGTTACTGCTATACATTTACTCCTGATGTTCAAAGAAAAAAGACGATGGTGTTTAAAGAAGTAGTCGATACTAGTTGCGTTTTTTTAGTTTACTTAGATGTGTCTCAATATTTGAATGTGAAAGCCGAGTAATGGAAGTTATTTCGAATGTAGACGTGACTCGGTTTAAGACTTGTGCTTTGATTTTTCAATTCAATTGTCATTGTTGTGGTGCTTTTACAAGATTTCAAATGTTATAAATCGAAATACTTAATTTGTCAAAACGCTAATCCTTTACGAAACAAATGCCAGTAGAAGTGTCATTTAACCTTAGTTTTATTTTCTTAATTAAAATCAAGACTTTTGAGGTCCTGAAATTTGTACATTGTGTTTAATGGATTTTTCCGCGACGTCATTAAATGATTGTCACAGATCAGTCATTAGAAGATGACATCATTGTGTTCGGTAACAGTAATATCAATGCCAGATTTAAGGGCAGAATGTCCCCAAAAATATAGATTATTTGAAAGACATTAATTATGTACAGACTGATACATTCGCGAACTGATCAGCTGTAAAATTCAACACCGTGATATAAATACGAAGAATTCAAGTTTTGTTCACCTACAATCTAGACACAAGTGTATACTTGGTTGTATGCCTCAACGAAACTTTAGTTGAAATACATCGCAAGATTTGACGTCTAGAGAGTTCAATAGAAGCGGGAATAATTTAGCTACACATACGAGCATTTAAATAATAATTTAAATTACTAATAATAACTTGATATCAAGTGTACGTCGAACTTTCTAATCATCGTGACTATGAAATTATATCTAAATTATACTGCAAATTTAAAACAAGCAAATGAACATTTTCGGACCGGTCATTTATTTTTCATAACTTGGTTCGAGAAAGCTAAATTTCTATTTAACTTGAGTAAAAAAATATCGTATCTCTACTGAGATAATAAGAAAAATAAGGTATTTGTTGTAAAATGATTAAACATACAAGAGTCAGTAATTCAAATATGATTTGTTATATTCTGCCATCGTATAGAGCAAGTATTGTGTAGCTTATTATATATAATTTTATTATATATAATATTCTCCTTAGCATTAAGAGTTCGAAGATCGAGCGGTCAATTGCGTGTTCACGATTGATTATAGAGATATCAATGAGAAATAATATCAACAGCCCTGCACGTTTTATATTGTACCAGAAATGAAGTTGAATTGTAGAGGCCGAGGCGACGTGACGTTCTGGCTGCTGCTGGCTGCGATGGCTGCAGTTGTGACGGCATTTGATGGTATGTGAGAAAAACAATGTAACATAATAGAATAATTTGATATGTTATTCAGGTGAATGAATTGTGGTTCAATCGTGATCGTTGAATCTATTTTTTGCTCATACTATAAAATAAATATATTGTAATTGTAAAATTAGGAATAATAATAAAATAATACTAATATTAAAAAATACTAATATCGATTGTAATAATAAATTTCATCAATTATATGGTCATTAATCGATGTTTTCCTATAACCGAACGAGACCAGGCAGTCATTACTTCAGAGGCTTGCAGCGAACACAAGTGTAAATTCCAACGTAACAAAATACTGGAGCAGAAAAAGAATATTCGAAGAAATTTCAAGTTGAACATTTGTTCATTTACATTCCTCTTACTTTACCAGGAGACATCGATCCATGGAGCGGTCCTACTGAGTGGTACGGTTTTCGTCGTTTTTCTTCATTCAACCGAATCTTTATTAAATCGAACTTTGTTCGTCTGCTGTATCACAAGGACCTCCCTTGTCTTTTATTTACTCAATCTAATTTTGTTGCTATTTTTTACTCAAACGAACATGGTTGCTGCCCGTCAGTCAACCGAACTTGGCTACGACGATCGGTTGCTGAAAACCTACGCGATACCCTTGGTCATCGTCAGCCGCCTAATTATGCGCTCTCCCTCTTGTGTTGAAATGTTCCCAACCTTCCTGGTTTCCAGGTTCTTCTGATATCCCTTTATATAATTCATGCTTTGAAAGACTGTTATTGTATAAAACCTTACCAGTATTTCCAGAACGCACTCAGCGCTAGCTTCCTAAAGTTCTACAGAGACCAATTTCGTTCCGAATAATGTATTACAATCCATGGCTCGACGTAACCATAAAGTCCTGTTCCGATGGCATCTCGTACTTGTATTCATGGCCGTATCCCGGCATTTGATTGTTCCACGTTTCTTAGCCATCTTATCCTACTAACTTCTTACAGCTATTTAGCATTATAACATTACGCTAAGAAAAAATTACCTACGATTTATCCAAACTGAAATTTTGACGTTCTTTTTTATTGCAGGATCCTCCGCTGGACAGCAGGAACCGAGCGATCCAACACTCGCAGTCGGAGAGCGCGATAAACAAATGACGATCGAAAATAATCCCAAGGAAGTTTTTACGACAGATATTTCTCATTCAGATCTTACTAAGGCACACAATTCAACGTCAGATGTTTCTATGACAGTTGTTGCTCGGTCAGATGTTGCTACGAACAACGTTACTATGACCGATGGAGATTTTACTACGACAGATGTTATTACTACCAACGTTACTATGACAGATGGTCCTACTGCAGATGTTACTTCGATAGATGTTATTACGACCAAAGTTACTATGATAGATGTTACCACGACAGATGTTACTTCGACGGATTTTGCTATGACCAACGTTACTCTGACAGATTCATCTACGACAGATTTTACTACGGCAGATTCTGTATCACTTACAGATGGAAGATCAACTGGTGCTGTAGGGTCTACGTCAGTGGAAGGGTCTACGATAAATGGAGAATCAAGGCCATACAATGCATCAAATACAAATGAAAGATGCACTAAAGAAAAAAGGTCTGCGACAGATGAATGGACTACGGTAAATAACGAGTCTACAGCAAACAATGAAGAGACCTCGACGTACGAACGGTCAACTACAGTTGAAGCGCCTTCTACCTATGACGGGGCTAAGACGGGGGAAATGTCTACGATAGTTAAAAGATCCACAAGAGACGAACGGTCTCCGACAGAGGAAGTTTTTGCTACAGATGTAGGGTCTACGACAAATGGAGGGTCTGTGACAGAAACCGATGAATTTTATACGACAGTTGAAGGGTCTACAACAGGTGACGAGTCTACGACACAAGGAAGGTCTACGGTTGA